TATATATATATATATAAAGAAGAAAAAAGAAAAAAAGGAGATAGCAACAACAACCATGGAATATCGTTCTTTTTTTGTCTGTTCATCCAATTAACATAGTCGTTGTTGTTGTTGTTGTTGTTGTAAATTACTTTGTAAATTTCCGTAGCATGTCTACGACATGCGCGCACAGTGAAACCAACGGCACTACCCCAGTTTTTTTTTTTTTTTTTTTTTTTTTTTAATTTTCCCCACCATATTCGCCTATATATTCATGGCGGATAAATCTACGTGAATGGCACAGCCAACGGACCTCGCGCCTCCTGCCAGAGCTTCTGCCTTTCTCGTTCCTCCTGGCAGTGATGCTTCGTGTTTTCCGGTCGCACTCGCGCGCTCCAAACAGATGGAAGAAGACAGCGAGGCTGAAGGAGGAAGCTGGAAGGCTTTTAGCTGCGTATCTGACCCGCGTTGCGAGCCATCTTCTCCGGCGGCTCTATCATGCTCTTCGCGCTACCGTTTAGGCTACGTTTACGACTCTTCATAAAGTCTGAAAACACACAACAAGCAAACATGTATACAACGCCATTTATTTTTCTAGTCCCATTGATCGTTACTACACTCGCCAGAGTGGCGAGAACGATAACAAGCATCAGGGTAAGTACCTTTGCTTTGCATCGATAGTAATAAATGCGTGTAGAATGGAGAAAATCAACCGAAAAAGCTGAGCACGTAGAAATCCAGCGACGCTTGTAATCGCGTGCAATGTAAAATTTGACCTCGTGCACGATCTAGCTTGACCAATGCACGCACGTCAAATCGCATTTGCGATAACCTTACGAATACAAGCACCGACTCGCATGCTTGTTAATTATATCGGCGGCTGATAAGATACATGCAAATCCTCGCAATGTTCGTTAAAGTATTAAAAGCACGATGCCGGCACGGCGCAACGCAACCGGGGATAGAGAGAGAGAGAGAGAGAGAGAGAGAGAGAGATTTGAATAGAAGATACGTGCAATTTCGTATCTGCCGTTTGCGCGTTTTGTTTGCGAACTTCTGGTGAATCATTTTATAAGGAGCTTGCAGAAAAACGCGATCGTCGCTAGGCTGCTAGTCGTGAGTCATCAGTGGCTTTCAGCTCGTACGAGTCACGAAATCGCCCGATCCCCGCGTTCGCGCCCTTCCTTTCATCAAAACGAAACGACGACGTTTGACGAACGTGCACGGGGAAATCTGACACATCTGTTCGATTTCCCTGTGATGACGAACTGCAATCGCATTGCCACGCAACGCGGATTAATAATTACAAACTGATACTTTCAAAGGGCGACGTTTCCTAATCGAGTGTTCAAACATGCAACATCATATCTCGCGTGCAATTTAAATGGCCGAGAGTTGCTAGCCTGCGCGTATGCGGGTCGCAATCGTCGGTGCCAGCTAATCCAGATTTTAAATACCGTTCTCGACCCTCGTCGTAGCGTCGCAGTGCCATCCAGAGGGTTGTTTGCCAGAGATGCACGAGTGTTAGCACAGCTGATGCCCCCATGAGCGCAATGCGCAGGAGGTATCGCGCTCGCAGGTCGGTCGGCGCGTGCGAACAAAAGCCGATGACCGGGGAGGGCTGTGCGGGAAAGAATGGAACGGGGGTGCGTGCTCCTAGCCAGCCCCATATGGACTGCACAGCTGACCGCGTGCGGCTCATTAATAATGTACGTTACGAAAAATCATTCCCTGCGCCCCCATCGGTACCCACGGTACGCCAGCAGATCGTACCACCAACGTTCGGGTACGTTACGAACGGTTCTTCGCTCCTCTACACTTGAACAAAAAAAAAAAAAAAAAAAAAAAAAATAGGGAGTTCCTATCGAGAGATCAAAACGCGACTCTGTAGGTGTATCGATCCGGTCGATCGAGTGGCCGAGCGATGATACCGTACGATATCACGCGCAGCACGCGACCATGATACTTTCGTTCGATTCGTCGAACGAACGCGCCACAGGTTCAAATTCAACTACTCGCAATTCGCGTTCGATTGTGTCTCGATTGCACACGAGCGTATACTTTGGACCTTGGGAAAGAGGGGCGGGCGAGTTGTCACAAAACAAGATGCGAGAAGCAATTTTATCGAGACGATTCGAACGATGGCATTCGCATCAGATCTGGGGACGTAATGTTATACCCCGAAACCGAAGTAAATATACAATCAGATGGTTAACGTCGGGCCATAAACAAAAGTACGTGCGCTGCCGCGGCGGAAAATATGTTTACACGCGTGTAGATGCATGCGTGCGTGCGAGACATGTGACGAGTCACGTCCAGAAATAGTCGCGTCGCGTGGGTGGTGCGCACGCCTGAATAATAAATAGGCGAAAAAAAAGGGGAACTAGACCGTGAGGTACGGGTCCAAACAAAATGGCCGTGTGCAACACACAGACGACGCTACGCGGAAAATCCTCTGCCGCGGGAGATGTCGAACTAGACGCACTCGGCAGCAGATAGACAGAGACACACGAATCAAACGCAGCGTTTAATTATTTCTCCTCTCCTCTCTCTCTCTCTCTCCTCTTCTCAATGGAAAACACGCGATCTCGAGCAACCAGATGGCATCACTTGTGCCTGGACCGTCGCTATAGAAATTACGAATAATATTTATCGTTATGTCATTCTTGTTTACGCTCTCACGTTCGATGAATTATCAAACGACGATTATCCGGTAGGGGGAAAAAAATATTTACGGCAGATTTCATTCCGTAGATATTAACGTTAACCGTGAAAGTACGATGGTTTTATCTATCTGTCAATTGGTAGGAATAATCTCGTTGTTCGAGCAAGTGATCACACAGACTGTTGGATTTTTACGATCGACGAAATCAATGGAAGTAATTTCTTTAGGGAAAGGAAAGTTTTATATACTTGACCGACCGATGACTGGCTGCAATCCGTTCCTTTTATCACGTGCTTACGCAATTACGTAAATTATGACGACCTTGCCGGTCGGCAAATTAGATTGACCTAGGGTAAACTACTTCCCGTACAAATAATGTCGGCCGATTAACTTGGCGATTAATGTGCGCCGATCGAACGGAAACCTTAGCGTCCTTATGTACGTAATTACGTAACTTTTCGCGCGGCAAAACGATACGATGTTTTTAAACAAGCGCCTCGACAATCTCGAAGGTCTTTCAATTTTTTTGTTTGTCCGCGTCGAGTATGCAATTTACGTAACGTAGACTGTTAAACCATTGGCTACGCGGGCTGACAAAATTAAATTACAGAAGAGAGAAGAAAAAGTTTTAGACAGGCTTGAATTAAACGGTGTGACGTTTTTACTTCTAATGGCTATTAGCACGTGCTTGTGGACATTACCATTCTAGCCGGTGGGTTTCGTGCAGAAAACAGAAGCGACCAGACAGATATATAATAGCGCGTGTTATATCGCTTACCGGTTATGGAGGACTGTTTCCTCGTTGCAGAGGTTGATAAAACAGGGGTAGTAGGTTCGGCGATATACACTTTCTTGTCCGAGTCGAAGTCGAAGAGATCGCTGGCGGTGATCTCGCCGATCTGCGGTACTCTCGGCTCCTGCGGAGGCGTCCGTTCCGTCGCCGACAGGACCGGAGTCACCTTCGGAGATCCGGACGAAGGATCCTTACGGAGGAATCTGGCGGAGGTGGGCGAGGAATCTCGTAGTTTCCGAGGCGTGCTTGGCGCGTGTTTCCTCAAGTAGGGCATACCTCGCAGTGCATAGGGTTCAGGCACCACGTCCTGCGGTGTAACCAGCTCCCACTCGTACCTCGAATTGGACGTCGGTATCTCCAAGTGAAAGTCGAATCCCCATCGTTCGGCGTCGAGTACCGATTGAGCGCGCAACTCCCGTTCCGCTAACGCGCGTGCCGCAGCGTGGTCCACCGGGCCGAACAGGTCCCTTCGAACACGGGCAAGGGCTGCTCTGCTCGGCACCGTTCGTCCTCCACCCAAATTCCTGCTCATTTCCGTCATCATCACCGGATTCAACACTCGAGCGCTCATATTTCGTTAGTCTTTCACGCCGCCGCAACGTCGCCGCTCTCCCTCCCAGTTACCAATAATACCACCGTAGTAAGCAAGCGTCTTCTTTCCACGAGACAAACAGCTTCCGTCCCTTTTCACCCGGTCACTACACTTTTTTCTCTCCTTCCCTCCCTTCTCACTTCCCGTCTTTCTCTTTTTCAGCGCCACTACTATTTTTCGATTCACGATTCACCGCCGCCGCCGCCGCCGCCGCCACCGCCGCCGCCACCACCGCCGCCGTCACCGTCGTCGTCGCCACCGAGCTTAAACAACACAGGGCCGATTCAATGAACGCGCCAGCGCTACGTTGAAAATCGCTCCTTTCCCTATTGATTTCGACGTGTTATTACATATGTGTGCGCGTGTATACGTCCCGTTCACAGAGATGACGATTCTTCTTCCAGGAATCGTTCACGGAACGTTGAAAATACTCGCGGTTCATGAAGACGACGTGGCAACGTTGTCGTGTGGCGCGACCCACCGAATTTCGAATAATGGCCGTAGCCAGCGTCGCCTCGCTACTACGCTGATCGTTGATTCCTCTACGATCGCGTCCAACACTCGGCCAACAAGCGGATTTTTCCACGATGCGCATCCGCAGGTTCGAGGTTATATTTTAAAAAAACGGCGTGCACCGTCGGCCGTGTGAAGCGTGTACGGTAAATCAAGATGTTTGGCAACACGGTTGGACACGCTATTGCGTACTACGACGGGAGCGAGCGAGCGAGAGGCAAGAGACAGAAAAACAGCTACTCTGGCTACTCTCTCATACTGTCTCAGAGATGGAACTCCACAGTCAAAACAACGACCGGCACAGGTGTCAACAATCGAACGTGGATTTGTTTTGCAAGTTTTTTTCATCCTCCTCTCACATATTTGTAGATATAGCCCGCGGGAGGGAAAAGCCGGCAACGTCGCACGCACTTGCGCGTGAGCCTCCGAGAGACAGCGAGCGTGTTTCGACGTGTTCCCGCGAAGGTTGTTACCACGCTTATTCTTCAGACGAAATACACGTTCAATCGTGCGTCGATCCTCCAACGTTCACAATTGTCACGTCTACGCGAACTGCGTAGCACACGAACGTATCACATTCGAGGATTTCTTGCTCGAGACGCGAAAATATTTTTACGGTAAACGTTATTGCACACGGCCCGAAAGTACCAATATGCTGTCCGTTAACACGGTGGGGAGCCACTGGATCGACTCCGATACCACGTAAATTCCAAATGAAAACAATACCGTAATTCCCGCCAAATGCACGACTGTCAAGGCACGCGCGTGGTTCCAAGTTCGGCGGAAGGTCGTACACGATTGCGCAGTTATGTTGACGCTGACGAGGTGCGTGTGTGCTCTGTAATGCACGGAGTTGCGTGAAGGCACGTTCCACACGTGTAAAGCGCTCTCTAGCGACTGAAGCGTGTGCCTCTCGTTGCAAGTAACCAAGCCTCTAAATATATCGGCTGTTTTCGGCTATCTTCGGCTCATTCGCTGTGTCACCCCTTTTCCCTCTTCACGCATCAGGGAAGAAACGAAATAACCGCCATTTACAGACTATGGTTGCTTCGACCTGAGCGCAGCGTTTCGTGCAGCGTTTGAAAAACACGTATCAGAAGCCTGTACAGTTATTGGCCCCCCCTTCCACGGCTACGTAAACGACAACAGAATGCTGATTCTAGCTGATCCGATGCGTTCCAGTATGTCAATCCTCATGGTAAATATCATACGCCTTTCCTTATTACATCCACGGCGTCTGTGACGATGCGAGGACGTTGGGAAAAATAATAGGCAGGTTACTGTCCTCTCTCCTCTCCTCTACCACTCCCATTTTCACTGAAACGCACCGATCGCGTTTAACGCGCAATTGAATCTGTGCTCGCTTCGAAACAGAAAACGGTAACTTAATCGTTTAATTGAATTTCGCAAAGCACCGACATCTTGCGAACAGTTGCTACCTTTGATCAAGTCGAGAATTTTAACAAGTGCATTTTTTCTGATGTTGTACCATGTCTATGTTATTAATAGTAAATTCGTAACATGTAACGTGCGCGTGAAACCTGTACAATCGGCCGAAAGGAAAGAGAAATGAAGCGCATTGTATGTTGACAAAGAAGCGAAAAATAAACAAGTCCAGCTTTCAAAACAACGGCTGTAATCTTATCACGGACACTCGTGCGCACGTTTATTCGGCGGATTTCCATGTTTGCATGGCAATACGTTACATACGATGAATTTATTTGCATACTGTTCAGATTATCATCGTCATTTTATTTCAACTGATAAGAGCTACTGTCCCTAGGCACCATGGTGGTGAGAACCAGAACACCATGTTCTGCAGAATTCAAAAATAAAATCTTCTATCTGATACTAATATTTTTGGACAAAGGAAAAACGGGAAATGCAATGCATATGAATGTCGCCTAATCGCAAGTAAGTCTTACTCTTTTTACAGTCGTTCAAATCTACTAACTCAGCTAGAGTCTTTAAATATGTACCAATCAAACGCTTAAATAACAATTATGAATTTAAATATTTCATCGATCAACGTGAATGGGTATCGATTCATTAACATTATTATGTAAATATGAAAAGTGAATTCGTGTTTAAATCATTAACTTTATAAATGTGACAATTAGCGATACTCGAGCGACCAGATGCTTGTTGTGACACTGCTGATACCGACGATACGAAATAAACGAGGTGAATCGACACTTTTCGATGATAATTGTCAATTTACCTCATTGCTGTTCTCTGTGCTCTGAACCGTTCGCCTCTCGTAGGGAAAGGCAATGGGGGAAATAGTTTTCTGTCGCATATGAAGTAACTCGCGTCGAGTGAACCGTACATGGATGATCATCGCGACCAATCAGGGAGCCCCTTTGCCAAGTAACGTTGAATAGTGTTAGTGTATATCCGTCTGGTAGAATATGGCTGGTGCCAAGTGGCGCCACTGTACACTCGCGGGAAAGTTTTAAATGTTTGAATCTAGCGAAATGCAAAAAGTAACTTCGTACCTATTATTTCCACGTTGCGTCGATTACATCGTCTTCACAAGATAAAAAGAGTTTAAGAAAATATGAGAGAAAAATTCAACTCGAGAATATCTTTACTCTTGCAATATCCTATCGTTCACGATTCAGTTATATTCGGTAAAAATATATTCTTCAGCTTATAATAAATAATAAATTTTATCGAAAACACACACAAGGTAAAGAAAAAAGTGCGAAAGTATTGTATTTGGTACAACGGAGTACATTCTCATGAGAGGACTGCAAAGCGTGTCGTTGAAAATGAAAATCCCACGCAACATCCAGGAAGTGGTGAGGGTGGCACCGGATGCATCTCAATGAGGGGAGAACGAGCGAATGAGTCGCGTAAAACAATCCTTTTTGCGTTTCGCAAAGACTACCGTCTCTCTTTCATCTGCGGTTACGTGGACTACCCGTTTAGCAAGGTATTCCGTTGCACAGGTGGTGTTCTCTCATGGTTTGTCGTAG